AAGCAAAGTGGAGGTAAAGCTCCTGAGCCATAATTTTATTTCACACTGTAAATCTCATCTCCCCTCCATCCCTGTTTAAGAAAAACAAGGGCACTGCAAGTTTCTGAGGCTCGACATTCCTCGTCCAGTCATCCTTTCATGTCCACTTCCAAATGCAAAAGCTAACCTCTAGATCTAAATTCACAGGATAGCTATGGAGAAAGGGATCACTGATCAGGATATAACATTTTTAAGTCCTGTATGTAAGCAGGTAGGTTAATCCCTTGTTCACTGGGAGAACTGTAGCAATCTCCAACCTGTATGAAAAACAAACAAGGTTTGGTTTAAGGTTTGCTTTGGGGTATGTGTGTGTGTCTTCAGGAAAATTAACTGTTTATGCATTTGTATACTTGAAAAAAAAATTAAGTTGGGACATTATGAAGAAGCTGGGTGAAAGGCTGAAAAGTTTAAATACTAGTATTTTTTTAAATACTCTTTCTTTAGAAAACAACAGTGTTTCCCCTCTCGTTTCTGAAAGAGAACATTCATCCTTTCCACACAGAAATTCAGACATCTTCCCAGTTCTGTATTAAAGCCTTGCTAGAGCCGGTCCCACTGTTGGGCAGCTGGTAAACCTGAGCCAGTTCTGTGGGATTAGAGAGTTTTGGAACTCAGAATAAACAACTCTCATGACTAAAACAAGCCACATTTATGAAGAGGTGTGGAATATAACAGAGCCAGAAACAGCATTTTTAAGATCTGACATCAAAAACCTCTGATAAGTTGTTTTATTCTGCCAGTGGAGTTTCTCAACCACCATGAGCCTAAGTAGACACTAAAAATAAGATGTTATACTGCCTTTCTCTTAGAATACAAAATGTAAATGGTGTGCCTTAAGTGAGACGTTAATTCTTCTCTATCAGTAGAAAACTTCAGAGACAAAAGTAAAAAAATCTTCAATTCACAGAATTGAATTGTTAAATAATGTACAGAATGTGAGAGGGAATGATTATTCACTCTCTGTTCCAAAACAAGAACCAAGAGCCTTGTAAAATTAGCAGGAACAAAGTTATTTCCCAAATACATAGTTCTACTGTGGAATTGTTTGTAGGTGTACAGTGATTCAAAAAGAACTGGAAAAATCCACTGGGAAAACTCAAAGACAGCATCTTATGCTCAGAAAGGTCCTACGGGATCACACATTAACACAACACTTGTGGGTGAGTTTACCTGACAGGGGCTGAATTCAGGTGAAAAATGAAGGTTGCAATGGAGAACAGGACATAGAATTCACCCCAGCAATGCATTCTGTTTCCATGACACAAATTCATTGAGAAAAGGAGCTCATGGACTTACTGTTGAAATCAGACTTTCAGAACAGCAACACTTAAACCCAATATTGACCGTGCTGCTGGCACTGACTGGGAACATCCCCTTGGTGACCAACAATCTGCCCTCAGCTGTGACCTTTTGTTTCTTTTATTTAGGAATCCAACATTTCTGGCATGCATCCATCAGCCCTTTGAAAACTTCAGAAGGAACAACATTTCTGCCCTCTACTTTGAGCAGGTTCAATTTTTGTCTTTTAAGACCCTTAGAGCAGGTTCAATTTTTGTCTTTAAGGCATCCTGTGGCCTGGTTTCTGGCTTCAAAACTTCTTATAAATTAGCTCCTCAGGCATGAAAGATTGCAAAGTACAAGCAGCAGAAATAACATCTATCCAGGGCAGAGGTTCTTTACAGGCCAGCCCCAAACTGGAACAAAAGACCAGCCCTGCCATTTTCAAAAAAGCTGAAAATACATTTACCTAAAACAACAGAAAATATGAACCAATATAAATCAAAACCTGACAAGACAGAAATTAGTTACAATGAAGGTGAAACAACTTAGGCATAACATTTGGCACAAAACTCCCAGGAATAAGAGTATTATGCCAAAAGCTGGGAAATAAACAATATAAAGCACAATGCAAAAGAAAAGGAATCTCTCACTTTCTCAACATCCCTGTCTTTGTAGCACTGTGAGTTTTCAGGTTCGCACTGGAAGCATGAAGATGTAAGGAGAAGGCAAAGTCATACCAAAAGGAAGCCAAACTTAGACCATGAGTTGTGCTCTTCAAAGGGTATGTTTCATAAGGAACTATAAATCTGCCACAAATTTTATTTTTACCACTTATTGCCATCTCAACAACATATGCACAAAATTTTCCAGGTTCAATCCTATATATACTGAGAGAAAGAAGAACAGTTATGAATTCACCTTGAAAACTATTGTTAGGTTTCCTTATTTTCCCCTATAAATGCTATGAATTAATTTAAGAGATTATATTTTAGTCCTTTTTTCATGTCCAACATTTTCATGTCACTTTTTATTGGCTGTTCTTGGCATTGAGTAGCAATTGAGCACTAAAGAACTTCTGTTTACCTGTAGATACCCAGTTTCTCTTTCCTCTGGTTACTATTGACTCCAGACTTACTTGTGCTGACAGACAATCTGCCATTCATAGTGCACGTTGAGTATCCTCTGAGCTCAGCTAGCTCACAGAGAGAAGTTAAAGAGAAGTTGATGATATGAACAAACTGAAAAGGATAGCAAAGCATAACAAAAAAACCAGAAAAATAGTCTCTACTGTCATTTTCTCTGAGTGAAGGAAAACACCTGGGATTAGCAAGAGGATGGACATGAAGCAAACATAGCAGGGATGGGGAGGGAAAATTCTAGAATTGATTCTATTCCCATTGTCTATGGTAATAACAAGAAACATTGATTTAAAAACAATTCCAATATTTTCTAGTAAATTGCTTTTGTTTTCCTGTGATAATATTGCAATCTTCTTGGGAAGAATCCCAATAACCCCATGAATGTATCAGACATTACTTTCAGAAAGCACATAAACCTCAAACACATGCAGTTGTTCATCCTCCAGTCTTGCTGGATGGATTTGGTTCAGTCAATTCCCCCAGCTCAACATTCACGTCATCCCACACAACCTTCGTTTTCACTGGGAAAAGAGCTCTGCCAGTGGCAGAGAAGGCACACACGCCCTTGTCAGTTGGCTGAAGTGCTTAAGTCTCACAAAAAGGGACTCTGCTGGATGCACAGCCAGTGCACTTTTCTGGGCAAAAGATTTTATCCTTTCACTACAGTCCTGTTCACCTGTAAACATTCAAATGTTCTTTGCAACCTGTACAAGTTTTCCCTCCCAACAAAGGCAAGCAGTTCTTTATTTCATATCAGTTCATTATAAATGTCAAAACACAAAGCAACACCCATTGAGAGTTTTTGCTCTGCACAATTCTTTCAGAGGTCAGCCCAACCCAAGCTCCACTGATGCTGCTTTACAGTCAAGCCTCTTGTATTTATTCATCCTGCTACTTTTTAGTGAAGTGTTATGAAATGCCTTGTCAGGGTCCTGAAAGGAAACATAAAGGAGGTGATTCCTGCATGGATACACAGGCTCTGTGCTGCAGCACTGCAGCTTCAGAGCATCTGCCCCCAGGGCACGACCTGCTCTTCTTTGGTTCATACAATGGTGCTGCCCATACCACCAGCACATGACAAAATAAACTTGCTTTTGAGTACCACCCCCCAAAAATCCACTCTTCTCTTGCAAGATTTTCTGCTTTTTGCAGTATGTATTTAATCCATACGCCTCCACGCAGACTGCTGTGTGTGGGAACACAACTGCCAAGGATCTACTCGTGCCTCAAGAGGGATTACAGGTAGGAAAAACATGACAATGGAAAATGCAGGAGAAGGGGGGTTTTGGAGGAAGAAGAATTGAAGAGAAAGCTGGGTTTATGCTACAAAGGAAGACTCAAGATAGAATAATTCCTTTTTTATACAATACCTTTCTCCTAGCTCTGCTGTTTGCCAGCACTGTAACAAGAAGGGAGATGAATTTCACCCTGAGATGTCTGACAGCACAGTAATAGAGAAAGATCCAGGGCATGCTGGATTCAGATTCAGACACCAGAACTGTAATCAAAAGAAAGGACTGTTCTTGCTTCAGGCTCTGAATTAATTCCCCTTTTCTGTCACTTAAATTACTGTTGTTTTTCTTAAATTGTGCATACACACGGATATTAGCTAAAACTAAACAAATAAAGACTGGCTCCAAAGGCCATTCCTGCAAGATGTCTGTCAGTTGAATATCAAATAATTCTGGTTGCCAATGACTCAGACAAAAACTATGTGCACTGAGGACATAAGAAAAGAATAGATTACCTTAGACTTGAAAAAAGAAACAGCTGACTTTTCCACTTCAGATACCTTACCTGACCTCTGCAGAAGTCTGGCAAGGTTGACCTGTCTTCTTAAGGTCCAGTCTGGAAACCAGAATAGTCAGTGACCTTTTTTACTGGGAAGTATAACGTCCATTCCTGCAATTACTTTTAAAACTATATAGTTGTAAACACACACACAGACACACAATGTGTTTTATCCGGGTAGCTTTTAAAATGTTGCCACTCCATTAGGCTGTAATAGCTTTGTCAAATGAGCCAAGTCTTGTGCCTCTTGGTAACAAACTTCTCTAAGTTGGAAAACATTCTAATGAGCACATCACATCAAAAGCCTGCACAGTGCTAAATTAACATAATGTGATAAGATACAATGTGACATAACATCTTCATAAACTTAAGCATGTCAGAAAACAAAATATCTTTCTATCAGCTTATTCTGAATCTAATCCATATTTAATTGCTCAAATCACTAGCCAGCAACTTTGAAAGTTTATTTAATACCACCATCACCAATTGTCTACAGTGACCCAATTAGAACTGTAGAAACAAGGGTAACAAAACACCAAGACAGAGACGTTCAGGTCTTCAGAAACTCTCCATGAGTTAATTAAAATCCTGTTTTGGGGGTTTGGCATTACTTTATCAAGAGCAGAATGAATACTTCAGTGATTATTGTGGGTGACAAAAGTTAAGCAGATTTCTTTCTTTAAAAAAGCCATTTTTCCTCTGTGTGAAAGACAATGCAATATACAGAATCAGCACGATAATACAACTTACCAAAATCAGAAATACTGTAGGTGATGATTCTGTGGAACAAAATACTTGAAGTGTGGCTGAACTCAATGAACACCTACAGCAAGGTCAGGATCTGAAAGATATTGCTGCAACTGTGACTGGAATACACTTTTTGTCCAGTTAAAAATATTTTTGCTGGAATAAGAATCTCCATGGTATTTTAGTAATTCTAATTTTAATCTAAACAAATGCTGGGTAGCAGAAAGGCTATATATAACCTCTGCAAAATTAAAGAAAATAAGAAATATTTTGCCATTTGTTACCCTCAATGCTTTTCAACAGATTTTCACAGCAGAGAACCTTTCTGGACTTTAGATACAGTCTGTCAGATCTCCATGTTTTTTAAGTACTTATGCTTGGTATCAAGGGGGGAAACAATAGTCTTTATATTCTCAGATATGTGGGAAGCAAGGCGCTTCTCCATCTAACAACAGATACATGCACATACAAATATGTTCACAGAGCTTTTGCTTCCAATGTAAGTTCTTTCAGGCAAAAACCCCAAATCATTTCCTGAGCATCATATGTCCTTTTTTAGAAGCGCCAAGCCCTCAGCTATGTGCTGCCATAGCCCACACAGTGACCAGCTCAGACCCTGTTCAAATGGACAGAGCTGCAATTCCAGTCAAGGAACTGATTATCTATAACTCCATAAGCCAGTAACTGCCCAAAAGGGTGTTGTTTATCATTTGAGAGAATGTAGCACAGGATTAAAGAACCTTCAAATACAATTAATTTTACTAAAATTCAATTGAGTGGCAGAGGTATTTTCATCTATCTTCATGACTGTGCTTATCAGCAGGGCTAATAATAGGGTTTGTTTAACTGAAGTAGTGTATTTTAAAGAGCATGGTTTGAAGAACAGCACCCCTGAAAAACCACAGAGTTCTCCATTTCAGGCATGGTCTTTTCCACATTGCTTAACCAGTATGTGGTCACTGTTTCAATCTCTCTCAAATTTAAAGAGTAAATGAAATTAAGGGGAATAAATTGGTCCCAGCTCTATGAGGTTTAATTAATACACAACCTTGTTTAAAACCTGCTTGCAAATTAAGTATTATTATTTGGAGAGGGGGAAGCTCTGTTTGGAACAAAGCAGTTAACAGTTCCTTCATTGGCATGTTCTGTTTTTTCCCCCAGTGCTTGTCCAAAAACAAATCTTCTTGTTTAATTTTAGAAACAATGAGATTCACTTACCTTTAGCAGATACATGTAGGGAAATTGCAGGGGGGCAATGAGGGGCAAGGCAATCAGATTTTAAGTGAAACAACTTGTTTTTTTCAAAATTCGAAATTAAATACTCTGTCAACTCTTCCTAGAGAATAAAAAAATGGACAATTATGTTTCATCATATTATTTTAAATGACTTCTCAATGAAGAAGTATTGAATAAAAGTTTCTAAGCATCACTTAAATGTTTCACCCAGAAATATTTAAGACCAAACAACTTCAACTGAGGTGGAAGGAAGTGTCAAATCTGTGATAAATCATTTGGGCTCTGACAAAAGAAGTTCTATTGGCAGAAGAGCTTTGCTCTTCCTCTAGTGATGGTAAAGAGGTGGAACTGGGGGTTAAACAAAGCATTTTGGATTTCCACTGATCCTCCCAGTCCTTGATATGTGACTTCTTGGACTTGCACACCACTGCAATAATTTTTTCACTCTACTGCCCTCTGCAATCCTGGCTTTGAAAACAGCACCTGTGAGAAGTGCAGTGACACCCTGTTACCTTGGCACTGTGGGACTGACAGGCTGCAGAACAGGACACTTGCTGAGCTCTCCCAGTTGATGCACTTTACAGGGTGTAGAATTCCCTGCAGGTTAAAAAAAAAATAGTTAGCTAACTCTTTGTAGACCTACTAAAAACAAATTTTTGGAAACATTGTGCTAGTGTACTTTTTCTCTTCATAAAGATTAAGGGATTGGAAGAGAAAGTGAGTTTTTAAACAGCTTTTCTGGGTTTAATCTCCCAAGTACTTTTGCCAAAGGCACATTGTGATCAAGTAGGTTAATCTAAATCATTTTATTGGACAATGTATTTGCATTTATCAAAATCATGCATTTTTTATTTTTGGGAATTCTGGCTGTTGCCCTCCCGAACTGTTTGAAAAAGAGGTGACAGAACCTGAGCACACCTTTCAGAAACATAGGTAATACACAGGCTTGCAGAGGTGACTGGAGAACAACTCCTGGAAGGGAGGAAGGAAGAAGGAGACATCTGAAAGCAAGAAAAAAAAAAACACCTGAAACACACCATCAGGTTTGCAAGAGAGCAAACCCCTAAATTTGATGGGAAGAGGACTCAACAAGAGATCAACAATGATTTTGAAGGTGGTAACAACACCTCCTTCCACTCTTGGATGGCTCCTTCCCCTCTCACCTAAGGCACAGGATTTCTCCTCAGGCAGCCACTTGTCCCTGCCACTGAATAGCAGTCCCCATTTGTGTCTCCATTCCTTGGGGGGCAGGCTGGGATCTTCCCTTTTACCTCCCCATCCCAGGAGAGAACACGCTCCTGCAAAGCCAGCACAGGGACAGCTGCAGAGGATGCACGAGCTCACAAACAGCCCCAGACATGCAAGTCTCCTGCCTGCTCTCCCAAGAGGAATAGCTGGACAGGAGGCAGGAGCAGCCTCCTCAGCCAGAAGCAGCCAGTCATCCCTCTGGCACAAACCAAGCTCCCTTCAGTTTGCCAGCTCAGGCAGCTGTTTGGCAGCCAGATCCTTTGCAATGTAAAGAAGGGATGATATAAACTATTCCTCTGACACATAGAACCTGCCTGAGGTAGCATTTTAATGGACAAAATAGAGGAGCTAAGTCTTCCAATACTGGATAAACATTAACATTACAAGAACTGAGTTGTAAATAATGTAATAATGTAAATAATCAGTTTCACAAACTGATTTTCAGGATGCACATTTACTAAATCCATACGAAGCCTGTTGCTTTGCTGTGCCTTGTTATGTGTAACAGTTTTCTGCTGCATCCTTACAGACCACAGGTACCTTGGGGACAGCTGAGGGATCCTTGAGCAGAGAGCCTGGGAAGTTTGTAAGGACAGTGAGCTGCACGTTTCCCCAGTGACTGTTCTATCCAGACTATTCAACAGGCACACCTGGAAAATACTGTAAACACAGTTGATTGTCCAGTGAAGGCTCTGGCCTTCAAAACTTTTAAAACAAAAAGTAACAAAAAGTGTTTCAAAAACCTGACAAGAGATTAGATTTGCAATTACAGTCCAGGAGAAACATCCCTTGTGCACTTCTCTGAGTTCCACACTTCCAAAGTCTCTAAGTAACAAAAGCTAAGGAATTCTTTGCCAGCTAAGCACCATCTCAGTCTACTTCACTTTTGTCCAATAATTTCTGGTCTTTAATATCCAACTATGAATCCCCTTCAGCTGATTTCCCCTTACTCTAAATCTCTCAAGTCGAGAAGCATCATAATAATACATATTTCTATCTATTTCCTTTCTGTCTCCTGAATAATATCACCTTGTTTTACCTAGAAACAGATTTATTTTTTCAAATAAACAAATAAAAGAAAGTTTCAAGGCCAGTAAAAAACACAGTTTACCTAAAAGCATGAAAGAACCAAGGGATGAAAGAAAGTCAGAAAACTCAACATAGTTATTCTAAAGTTCTCTATTTCCTGAGGTAAAACTTAGGTTTGAAGTTTGTTCTCTTTCATACTCAACTGAATTATCTGAAGTTAATAATTTCTAAGATAAAGATTACAATACTAAATTGCTTTTTTTGCATCACAAAGCCTTACTCTCAAACTGTTAAGTACGCAAGCAATTGCTTTCTAAAAGAATAGTCAAAGATCGTATGGTAATTTTTCCACTGAAATCACCTAGAGAAGCAGTTGTTCAAGAAGCAAAAATATTTGCAGGGCCAAGCCCTAAACTAAAGAGAAAAAAAAATTATATACAAAGCATCTTTTAGAAATTCATTGCAGATGGAGGAAAAACAAATTACTTTATTTGTTGTTTTATTAAGCATGTTAATGTTTTTGCATCACGTACAAGAAATAAGTCATGACAACCTCCACCTATGTGATATTATTTCACATTTGCTGTTGATAACAGAAACCCAGCATTCCTGCTCATAACATGTTACACCTGTGATGCAGTGGCAGTTTTGAGCAAATAATGACAATGTGGAGAACACCCAAAGCACAGTGGAGCTGACAGCAGTGCAGATGTGGATTGGGAACATGGCAGCTGTGTTGCTTGTGGGACTAGGTTTGTGCCAGTGCTCCCTGAGCCACACGTGCACAATCACATCCCCACCAGGCAGTGGTCAGTCTCAGAAGTACAGCTTTCACATTCACCAGGCAATCCTGAAAGGATAAAGCTAATTCCCAGCAAAAATCTTGCCAGAGATGGAATATACATAGTGTAGTTAGAGACCGTTCTTGTATTTCCTACATGGGATTTACTCATGAAGTTGAGAGCTGTTTCTTCACCTCCACTGGGTTTCTATGTAGAGTCGATATTTTACAGGTTTAAAAAAAAAAGAAAAAGAAAGAGGAAGGAGAAAGTTCACTGATCTTGGCAGTGAAAACTCATACAAAGATTGAATTTGAGGAATGAAAACCATTCTTCTTGACAAAGGACGTAAATGGTTCCTAACCACTACGTAAGAGTTGTATGTGTCAGATTTGTTAATTTGTGAGATTCTGGCTCTGCACAGGAATTACATTTCCCATACAGACTTCCCTCAGTGTTTTTACATAAACTTGCCTTAGTTCTTTCTTGATTTTCCTCAAGCTTTGCTAAGCCAGAGCCCTATCAATCCAGAGAGCACATCACAATGATCTGACTTCTACCAGTTTTCTTTACAAGAAAGGAGAATCAGCTGATATTTGCTGACCACTGAAGGACCAAATGGCTCCTACATGTTCCAGGTCAACATGCACAGGCAGCTCATCCTCCTGGCAGCTGTCACTGAGCAGGGGACTTCTACTGCAAAGTACCTTCAGAATCCAGGGGCTTTGTTCCCAAAGCTCTCTGGGTCCCAGGACAGGGCTCACGCTGGAAGTGCAGGGAGGATGGAGCTCTGCCCTCGCCTGAAAAGCAGACAAACTGTGAGCGGAACTCAGTCCCATAACCAGTATTTCCTGAGCAAGGGGACTAAGTCCAGTTGCGTACACCAGAGATAAAAACCACTTGGGAGACTCTCAAAGTCAGTCATGCTGTTATCCTGGAGGGAAGTAGGGGGGTGGAGCTTCACATATACAACAGCCACAGTTTAAGAATTTAGATATCTTACTGTAATTTTTTACTCTGTACTTACTCCTTTGCAAACAAGGAAGATTTCACAATGTAAACATAAGGTTTGCATATCTTACCCAGACTCTGAATTTTGGGTTGTCACTCATAAGAATTTTTTTTTTACCTGTTGCATCTTAATTCACTTAGAATTTAGAAAAGCTGCTCCACTCACATTGGCATCTACACAAGTTTAAGGTCATTCCAAAGTTCCATCAAATTAGCACTTAAAAGCACTGTTGGCTTTAACCTAGTTTTGAACCATCCCAAATAGCTCTTAATTTAACCAAACACCAAAGCAATGTGAAGTGGGTCTTATGACTGTCTAATTGTGCCTTATAGAGTGCCTAAAACAGCACATTTATTTGCCAGATCTCCAGACCAGCCCTGGATTTTATTTTATATTCATCCTGGGGTTTTAGTGGAAGAGTCCAGGACAGGATCTGGAGAGCTACCATTGTGGGTGTGCCAACATAACCCAAATCTCAGTACCTTACATGACTGCTACACAGCACTCACCTTCTGATTCCTGCCTATAATCAAGAAGAAACACCAGCATTTCATCATCATCATTTTGCAAAGAGTATAAAAGGTTAATGGTCAGATTTAGCAGAGAACAATTATATCACTCTAAGAGATTTTTTCATTATAGGTGCTCTGAGTGATAGTATTTCATAAGATGTGCAAAGTATGACTCAAAACCCAGAACACCAACTTAATTTAAAGTGTCTAGATGAAAAATCCAACCGACAAGTGCCATTCATCCCAAACAAATATCTTCCACACTGTTAAGCAAATGACAAGATAGTAAAGCAAAATGGAATTTAAAGTGTTTTTGCTTCCCATTCCAGTGAAGCACAACATCTGAATCCCACTTCTGCTCTCTCCACAACTTCTGCTAATATACCATTGATCAGGCACTCCAAATAAGTTTAATTAGTTGCAAGTAATACATGCATTCACATTTTTTCTTCTTGGTTGCTGTTCATTTGGTCTTCAATATACTATGCAATATGAAATTGCCAAGATATTACTTAACACTTACACCATAGAGAGAGGTGCATTAGGAAAAGAGAGCTTTTCAGAACTGACTTGATTTTTATGGGAAAAAAAACGTGGTTGCAAGAAAATTAAATAGGGAAGGGAAAATATTTCAGAAGGATTTCAAGAGATTAAGCCTGTGCTTTACATTTCACCACGTCAGGCCAAGTCCTCAGTGGATACAAATCACTGGGGCTCTATTTCAATCAACAAAGCGGGTTCAGAAATTGGCCTTTTTCTCTCTCCAAATACTGCCTGCAGCCTGCATATGTGTGTTTGACTTGTTCAGATCTCCTTCTTCAAATTCAGCATTAAGAAAAAGCTCAGGGAAACGATTTGAATTTAGCTCACACTCAGGGTATTTTAGTGGATCTCAACCGCTACAGCTGCATGGGGGAGAGTTAAAAAAGAAAAAGAAAAAAAAGTTCTTTTACAGAAGATGGGTCTAAATGCCTTTTGAGTTTGAAGAAATCAGAAATGGATGGCTGGGCTCTGATACTCCCACAGCACGTCCAGTATTTTCAGCAACCATCCCACCCATGGACAACAAGATTCCAAGGAGTTAGATCCCATGCATCAGGAAACACTGTGGTGTGAACAGCAGAGGGTGTGGCTGAGTGGCTTTTGTGACAGCCATGGAGCTGAGGAAGATGTGAAAGAGTGGGGTTAAACCTCATTTAAAAAGATGAGAAGCAGGAACGTCCCCATCTCTTTGAATATCTTTTACTCAGAAAGAACAGCTGGAACTGCTGTGCTCTCCTCCAGTGCTGTCAATCCCACTGCTGTGTGTGCCCAGGATATGACTGATCCACCCTGACACAACATATAAAATTGCCAAAAAAATTTGAAGCATAGTAATATCTTTCTCACTAACAATGTGACAAGATCATGTTATTTTGAAGTGTCATGATCTTTTGGGGGAAAAGATTGTAACATTCAGATTAACTTTTTTTTAACTTATGAACCAATAATTATGAAATTGGGCAGCAGCATGAAAGTCACCATCTTTTCATCTGATTACCCCACACCTCCAATGCAAACTATGACCAAGAAAATAAATCCTTACATAATCCACATTCTCAATTATATCTCAGATAATAGCATGAAAACAAAGTAAGAAATGTGGTGGGGTACTGAGGACTGGGGCAGTGGGATTTCTGGGGGGGAAAAAGGCTCTCTTGTAGCCAGAAAAAAGCACATGGAAATGTCTAGGTTATTCCTTCAAAACCATAATGGTATTTGGGGTTTCCTAGAGGGTTATTTTACCAGCATGCAACCTGAGACTCTTTATTTGTACAAGCTACCTAACAAGGTATTCTTAAACATATTAACAAGCTTACTCTACAAAACTCTGAAAATGAAACAGGGCTTATCAAACGTCCATACTTTCACATTGGTATCGAAGACCAAGAAATGAGACTGCTAGACTGAATATTCTTCTAGTAGCTTTGTTTCTGTAGTGGGCAGCTGAGTCTTGCACATTTATGACTGTAATTTTTATGATTCTCATTTGAAAACTAATGAGACAATCACTCTGGGTCCAATACCAACACATCAATAACATGAGAAAACACAAAAGCCCATAAATATTGGTGTAGGCACATTCTCCAAGATCCTGGTCCTCAGATGCCTTCTTCCTTGGATAAGCACCTTTAGCTTCAGGGGATACCAATTCACAGCTTTGTTCTTCAGTAAGGAAACCCCCACAACTTCCCACAGTGCAGACAGCTGGTGACACCCTTGGGAACAATAGCATTCCCCAAACACTTGTGGCATCATCATCATCCCATATCCTGTGCATCTGCTCCGCTCACAGCCCTCTGTGGGGTGCACCACCTCTCTTCCAGAGCCAACAGCAGCACTTTGCCCTCCCACAGCAGGTCAGGATGGGGCAGGAGGGGCTCTCCCTGCGTGAGGGTCCAGACCAGCAACACCCTGCAGGTGCTTTGGCTCAGCTGCTCTGCTGTGCCAGGGCTTCACCAGAGGGCACGGGAAGCAAATGGGCTTGGTTTAGCTGGCAGGAATGTTTGGGTCCAACCAGAGGAGCTCAGAGTATGCAATGACTTTCCTTTTCCCCCCAGGGAGGGCAGCTGGACAGGGGGCTCAGCACAGGCAGAGCCCGCTGCCCTCACACTCCCTGCTGAAGGTACAGCCACTCTACACCTGATTTAATCTGGCTGTTTCCTTCTCCTGTGTGGAGGGAGGGCAGCAAACCATCCTTTTCTGCATTGAAAATCGACAAATACCACCTGTATTTATGTATTATATAAAATCCCAGGAAGCTGGCAAGTTTCTAGCCAGGAATTTCTAAGAGGCCCCAGGGTAACTAAATATCCATTTCCCACTAAGTTTCAGTCAGATTGAGACACTTAACTCCCTAAGGTCTGTTTGAAAGTCACAGTCCAAAACTAATGCGACAATGAATAACAACATAAACTGTACAAGTAAGTTGAAATCAGTTCAGCCTTAACTATCATATATCTAAAGTTTGTATTAATAAAAATATACTTTAACCAAAGTGAGAGCACGCCCTTAGTGTTGGTATTATTCCCAGTTTCCAAAATAAAGCCTTGTAGCCATGGTTTAAAGCAAGTGTATAGAGATAACAAATTACATTCTAACAGTTTTTCCAGTCCCTTGAAATGCCAGACATACTCATACTAAGTGAAAAAATACTCTTTCGACTGTTTTTTATGTATTGTGAAATGTTCTGCTTTGTAATTGGTCTTCTTTTATTGTCATTATTCGAAAGCACAGAGTCAAGGTACTGTGATGTTCTGAGGATCTACTGCAGTGCACAGTGATTATATCTACCTTCTTCTGCTGCAATAGGTATAAAATAAAAGTTTATGATCTCTACCTTACATCACTCTCTTCAACACCACTTCACTTAAATCATGCACAGGGTCAGATTGCTGAGGGAAAAACATGGATAGAGTTCTATGGTCACCTAAATTAATATTTTTTAAAAAAAAAATTGATCCAATTATTTTCTTAATGGAGATATCACCAATACTCAACATAACAGTCAAAACACAGTTTTTCTAACTTATGGGCTTGCACTCACCACATAATGGCTAAAACTCTCTTTGTACCCCCCGTATTATTCTTACTGTTAGTACCCACAATATAGATTCTAGTAGAAGAGATGAACAGGCAATTTTGCTGATGATGCATAAAGCAAAATAAAACAAATTGTAATTTTCTATAACTGCAATATATTTGGTTTTGGAATGCTGGCTACTGTGAAAAAAATGATTTGTTTTTACCTTTAATTCAAAATTACTTTTGTTTAGTCGAACTTTCTACACAAAAACCCACCTAACAGGAAATAAAATATTTGTTTTTCTCTTTTCAGTAGCTGTTCTATACATTGTAACTTCCGTGGCAGTCATGCTTGCCATCATATGATCAAATCTTAATAAGAATGTATTTTTTACCCAATATAGCCCATAAAATCATGGGGGAGATACACAGTGGTTATAAGCACTTTGTCAAACGGTTCAAATAGCCTATGAAAATAGAATGTGTTTGTTAGGAGATTAAAGGGGGCTGTTGGATAATAGTTATCTTTATCTAATAATGTGAAAGGCTTTGGTGTTGAAAGCATTATTCAAAAAGGTCCATTTGATATTAAAAATCTTAAGATGGGATGCTTGAGAAGAAAATGATAAAGGCTTTTGAATTGCACATAAGAAAAATGAGCATGCTGTAACAAAAGAAATAGTTTGCACAGCCATAAGAGAGAGAAAGCGAG